CAATTGGTTAAGTGCCCAACTCTTGGTTTTGGCTCAGGTCATGATCTCAGGGTCGTGAGATGGAGCCCCATGTCAGGCTCTGCGCTCATCGGGGAGTCTGCTTGAGATTCTCTCTCTCCCTCTGCCCCTCCACCCCTAAAATAAATAAATAAAATCTTTTTTAAAAATAAAAAAATAAAGATCTCACAATTTTATATGTTAATTATACCTCAGTAAAGCTGACATAAAACAAAAATCAGAAAAACCAAGTAAACAACAAAAAATAGAATTATATTTCTTTAGCCCTAAGCCCTTTGTTCTTTGTAAACTGCTAAGGACCTTGGAGCTTCAGGTTCTAGGCATTTTGGTGGGGAGAAGCTGGGAAAGAGGACCTGAGGATTTTGGGGGGGCTCCACAGGGTGCTTTGTGGAAGCCCCACCGAGGGGTGGGGTTGAGGTAAGAGTATCCAGAGCAGAGAGAAAAGGGATTTGCTTTACAAATCAGGGCCTGCTAGCTCTGCATTTTGGGTTTCTTTTAAAACTGGAAGCTATCTTGTTTTTAACAATATGTCATAAAGCCTTCAAGAAGTTATTGTACAGGGGCACCTGGCTCACTTGGTAGAGCATGAGACTCTTGATCTGGGGGTTGTGAGTTCAAGCCCCATGTTGGGCATAGAGCCTACTAAAAAAACAAAAATACATAATACGTACTTTAAAAAGAAGAAGTTACTGTACAATTTATGATGGAGATGCCTGCTCCTTGGAACCTGAGGGAACTGTACCCAATCTTGGGGTGTGGGTATCGTTTTGTGCGTATGTTTGAATTGCATCTTCTGAACAGAGTCCATAGCTTTCATCAGAATCATAAAGAGGTCCTGAGGAATTGGAGCCAGGAGACCTAGCAATGTAGCCTGAGCCTCTGAAGCCGTTGAGGGTCAGTGGCGCTCTCACCAGCCCGCTGGGGCACGGGCGCTGGGACAGGTCCGCTGGCTCTCGCACCTGCCTGCCCACCCCAGACCTTGGAGGGCCCTCTGCCATCACGTGAGCACCATCCTTCAAAGGTCTTTGTGTCTCCTTTGGGTTTAAAACAGAAAAGCTCAGGGGCGCCTGGGGTGGCTCGGTCATTCGAGAGTCTGACTTCGGCGGGGGTCGTGATCTTGGGGTCCTGGGATCCAGCCCCACGTCGGGCTCCCCGCTCGGTGCAGAGTCTGCTTGTCCCTCTCCCTCTGCCCCTTCCCCCTGCGCGTGCTCTCTCTCTCGCTTTCTCTCAAATAAATAAATACAGTCTTTAGAAGAAAAAAGAAAAGTGAACATTTTTTCTGACCATAAAAGGAGAAACTTAGAAAACACAGAAAAACATAGTGAAGAAAATACAAATCAGTCATAATCCTACTAAAGAATTAACCGCTGTAAACATTTTGAGGTGTTCCCTTCCAGATTTTCTCTTCTTCTTTTGTATTTTTAAGAGAGAGTTGAGATCATAGTATGTCTATGAATGGAGCCCTTTTTCACTTAACATGACCTCATAATCATCTCGCCTGCCATTAAAAAGTCTTCATTAGCATCATGTTCCTTGGCTTCACAATTATTCCATTATATGGCAACACTACAGCTTCCATACCCATTCTTCTATCATTGGGCATTTGCATTGTTCCTAGCTTTTTGCTTTAATGAATAATTCAGTGAGAAGCCTCTTCGGGCAACACGCCGTGCTTACATCTTAGATTGTTTCTTCCTGGTAGATTCCTAGAAGTCTCCTTTGTGCTCTGTAGGTATCGCGAGTTAAGATGTTGCCGAGACCCATCTGGGAAGTGTGGATATTGCTAAGGAGCGCGGGCCATGAGGTGGGGCCGAGCAACAACATCCACTGGGTGCTGTGGGCACAGCGGAGGCTTAAGAAATGAGAGCGAGTCTTGGTCTTTGAGGACTTTATCGTGTAGTGCAGAACCACAACACGCATAAAGAGCCTAACGGAAGAGATACTTGATCTCAGAACGCTGGGGGAGCCAGGCATGAGTTTCAGAACGGGAGAGGGGTTTTTGTGTGTATTCATATTGCATTTTCTGGAGAAGGAGCTTCCAACAGAGTCTTTTCATCTATACAGCTGCAAGGAATTCCCTATTTAGTGATGGTTTGGGGGTGTGGATGGGAAGTCAATTAATTTTCCCTATTTTTTCTTTTGCTATTTTATAGTTTTTTTTATGATAGAAAAATAAGGCATGTGGGTGCCTCAGTCGGGTAAGCCTTGGATTTCGGCTCAGGTCCTGATCTCAGGGTCCCGGGATAGAGCCCCACCTCGGGCTCTGCGCTCACCGGGGAATATGCTTGTCCCTCTGCCCTTCCCCTGACTTGTGCTCTCTCTCGCGTGCGCGCGCACACGCACTCAAATAAATAAATAAAATCTTTAAAAAAATAGGGAGTGTAATAGAAAAATAAGAAACTTCTCATGTGCCATTAAGATGACAGCAAGAGTATACTAAGATGACAGGCAGGGTCCTGGTTTGGGGGGGACCTTGAGGTAGGCTATAGGAGAGGCTACATCCCCTACCCAGCAGGTGTGAGGGCAAATTTTGGCAGCATTAGTCACCTGTCCCTGCAGTGGCCTACCAATCCGTTTACATATAAATCTGCTCCTGCCAGCGCGAGCGGGTGTTACATGAGCCTAATGCCAACAGGATCGCATTATCAGAACATTATGTTTTGCAAGTGCATGGCACATTTGATAATACAAACCAATGTTTCCTTGTCCCTCTCCCAGAGCCTTAGTCCTCAACTGGTTGCTAAGAGTTAAAGGAGCTTCTTACTGATCATTCATGGTCATCAGAAAAGCCAGTCAGCTCTGCCAACGTGGAAAAGGCAAGGAGATGTGGTCATCGTGTGGCTTCCAGGCCTTTCATTCAGGGCCAGAATTAAATGCGTGTGTGGAAATTGACAGCCATCGATCGTATTTATTTTCCAAAATCTGTTCTGGCCACATCTGTTGTTTGGCTAGTTCTTCCACTGGGAAGATGAGAGTCACGGGCTAGACCGTGGCCTTGTCCAGGCATTTCCACTGGACAGACACCCACAGTTGCAGGACCCCCACAGAACCCTATCTCAGCTCAGCTTGTTGTGAGATTTCGTGGGTGCTGTCAAGTTGAATGCCCACAGTCAGGACAACTGGGATGGGAGTGCGTGTCTCGTTGCTCCCTTTCCCTGGGGTATCCCCCCCATCTGTGGCTGGAGTGGACAGGTCCCCAGTAGAGGGTCAATGTGCAGAGCATGACTAGACAAGAGAGACCAGCCATAGGCAGACACGTGCCCTGACTCAGAAGCTCCCCAAGTCTTTCCACCTAGCAACCTTTAATCTGGTGTACTAACAAAATCTGTGTAATTCTATTATTATTAATTATTATTATTGTTATCATTATCATTATTATTAAGTTCCAGTTGGCTGTCTCTACAGGTTTAGCTGAGTTGTTTTTCATCCCTCACTCTTGGCTTCTACAGAATAAATCCCTCTCTCATTCCCTGTCACTCTTATTTCCTTTGATCCTTTGTTTTCTCCAGACCCAGAATCACTTAGTGTCCCAAAGGGCTTGAATCTACCTGTAATTTATGCACCCAGTATAGTCATCACATAAGCCTAATTGTTAGTTGGCCTCAGCTGCATTGGCCAAAAGCGCCAAACCCCACCATGAGCCAGAGGGAGGTCTGGGAGGAGCCAGCCACTGCCCACCCCTCAGACACAGGGAATACCCACTCTTTCCGTCAAGAGCGGGAAAACAGTAAGCAAACATATCTGTGACCACTGCCAGCCCTAATCCATAATGCAAAATAAACAAGCAGGATAACACTCCAAATATGATCCTTTGTTTGTGGTTGTAGGGGAGAGAGCTAAAAGCTTAGACCTCCAGAGGATATCATTAAGAAATTCTTCCTCGTATTTAATCAGACTTGCCTTGGCTATGACTTAAGCTTACATATTCTGGTTCTATCCAGACAAAGGCACTCCTCTCTTCCCTACATATGATATTTCTTTTTTTTTTTTTTAAAGATTTTATTTATTTATTCATGAGAGACAGAGAGAA